CTCCTGTTTTTGTCTGTTTTTTGGCTGTTTCCTGCTGTGGACAGCAATAAATCTGCTGCAGTTTACTGATTTTGGCTAGGAACACTTGTGAATCCTAGTGTTTCCTATCATTAACTTCTACAGCAATGCAGTCTCGGAAGTCTAACTTAATGTTGCATCATCTTGAGTGGAAATGCCCTTTCAAATTGCCACTAGAAATAGCACATATTATCTATAAGGATGACAGTCTGCTTTCACGCTTTTTTCTTTAAGTCACTGAAGATGTATAAGCTTAAATAAATCAATGAAAAAAGAAACATAAATATGTAAGCATTCAATCCATCCACGTAAACAGTGCAAACAAAATAAATTCTCTAGCATTTGCAGAATTTTCAAGATCCAGAAGAACAGATAATTTGTAAATGTTAACTGATTCATTCTACCTGAATTTCAATTGCCATATCCCTTGATATTGTAAGCATTTGAACAGTTCCTCGTTCCTTCAAGCATTCACGAAAGGAAGGCAACTGAATTTTTTTACCAATAGTAAAATCTGTTTCAAAAACATCAGCTAATAGTTAATCAGCTTTGGAGCAACAGTGAAAAAAAAAAAAAGCCTTGCAAAATCCCCGCCACCACCTAAAAACAAGAAGAAGAAAAAAAGAGACAAGCAGGAAATTTCTTTATTGAAGTAAATCAATGAAATGACGGAACTTGCAGTTAAACTTTTCAGAATGTCACAAATAGGTTTACCAGTTAGATAGTCAGTGAAAAAGTAATACAAATGAGTGCGCGCAAATTCACCACTTGGTTGTTTATCAATTAAAGTTTTCAGAGAACCATGAAACATGACAAAAAGGGAGTGTGTTTCCTTTAACACTCCACGCAAGGCTTCAGATCTCCAAACAGATTCGGCATATTTACTTTTCTCAACAACCTGAAGATAAGAGACATCATCACTTCATTTCAAATAGCGAAAAAAGAAGTATATATAGATGTCATAACAAGCGAAGGTGCAAAAAGAGGTCCATAATAATTTTCTGGAGCATGAGAATTGAGAAATAATAATAAGAAAGATTAAAAAAATTGCTGATAAGCATAGGAGAATGTATCTTACCAACAAACAAGTCACAGAAAAATAAATAAATTTATTTATTGGCATAAATAGTGGTCAGCTTGGCTATTTGTGGGATTGCAAAGCTGGTCACCCATCAAGCCATCCATTATTGGCAATCTATGGGGCCTCAACGGACGAAAAACCCACTCAGAATTTGAGGGAAATAAATGCGTGAAGGGTGAATATCTTCATTTATTTTCAACGTAATTATCAATTATAATATAAAGTGTTGTTGTACAAACAAAAGGCAAAACCTCAATAAAATACCAACATTCAAATCATTTGTCCTCTCTTCATGATACCAAGCATTAGCAACAGAGTTTGAGTTTTTTTTCCTAAGGTTTTCCCTAAAGTCCAAAATCCTCTATACCAAGTACTGTCCTCCTCCACAACCAACTGTTCGACACCTGAACTCCACATCAAACCACATCCAACTACCGTTGCAAGCACCTAATTCAGAGTTAGAAAATCATTTTACGTTAATGGAAAAATGTCTTCTATAGCAGAAGTTTTGGACCAATGAAATGGTCCTGATCAAACCGTTGTGCATGAGTACCAAGACTCTCAATCGACATTCAAATTGAATGGAAGAAATTATCATATTTGGTCCTAGATTGTGAAACCTTTCTCAAAGGAATGGAAAATTTGAGACACCTTATTGGCTCCATATCGAGTGAAGACGATCTCAATTTTGACACATGTGATATAAAAAAAATTCATCAATTATATCCTAGCTATGGAGTTCAAATATACCAAAAGTCAGCTGAAGGATATTAACACAGTAAGATATAATAGAAATGGAATACTTGAAAAGTATGAAGTTAGAATCATGGCAAAAGGCTGCACTCAAACATTTAAAGTGGATTATGGAGAAACTTTTACACCAATCACAAAGCTAAACACTATCTAAATACTTCTATCTTTGGTGGTCAACCTCAACCGACCCTTGCAACAATTGAATGTAAAAAATAAATAAATAAATAAATAAATAATCTTACATAGTGAAATAGAAGAAGAAGTCACTATGGAAGATCCAATACATTTTAATAGAAATTTCAATACTAACCATTTATGTAGGTTGAAGAAAGTTCTCTAAGGGCTCAAGCAATCCCAAAAGCATGGTTTAAGAGATTTATCAAAGCCACGGAAAAGATGAAATTCAAACAAGTCTAGGAGATCACACTCTATTTATAAGGAAATCCAATGAATGCAAAATTATAGTTCTCATAATGTATGTGAATTACAATTTTTTTTTTTTTATGTATGTGAATTACATGATATTCATAATAGGAGATGATATGAGGGAAATAAAAATAGTGAAATATCAGCATTTTAAAGATTTAGAAGTCAAAGATTTAGGAAGACTCAAATATTTCTTTAGAATAGAAGTGACCCTTAAAAGGCTAGGATATTTATCACTAAACGAAAATATATCCTTGACCTACAAAATAACATAGATATGCTGCGATGCAAGCCCTCAAAAGTTTCAATTGATTACTGTCACGCACTTTGACACGAGCAATATCCCAAAGTTGACAAAAGGATGTATCAAAGATTGACTGGAAATCTCATCTGTCTTACCCGCATAAGACTAAACATAACCTATATAGCAAGTATTCTAAGTCAATTTATACATAATCCTGCATGCATCAACATGCAACATACAAATACCTCAAAGCAACACGAGAAAAAAGAATCTGACTCAAAAAGGAATATAATGCTTTGTTTAGAAGCATACACTGATACTAATTGGACCCCTTAAAGATAAAAGCTTTCCTACTGATTATTACAATTTTAGAAGTGATAAAATAATCACTTAGAGAAGCAAGAAGCCATTAGTGGTCGCCAAATCTAGAACCAAAATTGATTTCTTGGTAATGGCCCAAAGGATTTGTGAACTATTATGTATCAAAATTATCTTGGATAAGTTAGGAATAAAATGAAAAGGTATTATGAAGCTATGATGTGACAACAAATCAGCCATCAACATCACGTGTAATCCAGTCCAACATGATCAAATCAAATGATAAAAATTGATAGACACTTCATCAAAGAAAAATTAGAAGGTAGGCTAACAAGCATCAAATATGCTCAAACACAAACAATTTGTTTCATCCTAACCAAAGAACAACCAAGCACCACATTCCAAAATATTACCTACGAATTAGACATGAAAAATTTCTACTATACAGCTTGAGAAGTATTGGCGCAATAGCCGCCAACTTGGCAAACTATGGAATTGTAAAACTGGCTGCCAATCTTCCCGTCTATTATTGGAAATTTGTGGGCCTCAAGGGGCAGAAATCCATTTCTAATTTCAGTAAAATAAATGTGCACAAGCTATAAAATATCTTTATTTTCAATATAATTAGTAGATTTCATAGGTAGAGATTACCAATTGTAATCTAGAATCCTACGGTATAAATAAAGGGGCAAAACCGCAATGAAATGTATACAATATTCAAATTGTTTCCCCTCTCTTCAGTACCATGGTGCAATTAAATTGCACTTGATAACATGGGAATTAAAGCACACAAAGATAGGCAAAGCACGTGCAATAACCAGGTCACTTACATAAGGCTAGATGAAAACTCAAACCAAAATTGCAAAGGATTTAAGTAAGGGCAAAGCCGTACCTTTTATAAATGAAGGCGTGATTTATGTTCTGTGAATCCATTTAAGATACATGCTAATTTATATAGTAAATGATACTCAAAATGCTGTTCACATTAATGTCACCATCATATCATTATAATTCACTCTGAAGAACTTTATAAACCATCTTCAAGCTCCTTGACTAAGGTAATCTATGCAGTGAAGTATTACATAAAGTGAAAAAAATGAAAGCTTGATAATTTCTAGTATCTATTAAGAATATCACTGTTTTGTGTTGCCATGAATGGCATTTTGGGAGATATCCTTGGGTATTTTCACCATATACTCTATCTTAAAAAATGAAAAGGTTTCAAAGATTGGCAGTTATCCAAAGAATAAACATAAATAAAGAGAATCACATGACAATGACAGGGTATTATAAATGCATAATCCTTAGCCATTCAATTGGTTCTAAACATAGAAGAGTGTAAATTCAGTAGCCAAGTTCACCAGGGGATTTGTCAATATCATGAATGCAATCTTAAATAGAAATTCGGATATTTTAATTTTTTTTCCTTCACCAATAACCTCAAAGAATTTGGCCTTAGCAGTAAGGAAGGAGTAAGATGAAAGAAAAAACGGGCTAATAAGTCTTCCATACTCTCGCAAAACCCTAATTTGGTTTAACTCTACAAATTCACATTTTTTCCTTAAAATTCCTACATAATTACATGTACTCTTTATGTTCATATTTTTCTTGAGTTGACGCAAAGAAGCTTACTTTACAGTATGTTTCTTTGCACAAGAATGGCATAAAATAGTTCTAAATATCTTATTTTAACGGGCACTGTTTTGAATGTATTTCATAAGAACTTATCTGCGTATGAAGCAATAATTGTCTAAAGCTTAAATCTGTTGCTGAAATTTGGGAATCCATAGATATTATCGTAGAAGGGCATGTAAAGTAAAAATAAGCATGTAAAGAGCTATTTATTGTCAAAATCTCAGTCATCCCTTCGCATTTGATCCCACGGTCAGGATGAGAATCCGTGGGAGGCTCACTTGAATCACGCCAATATCCTTCTATATTTGGGTAGCTGAATTAGGAATGATTATATTGAGGCAATTATGTATCAATTAGACGTTATTTATTTCTTTATCAAGACATCTTGTATAAATCTATAAATAGGGATAATTTTGTATAATAAGTAGAAGGTATTTTTACCTTTCTCAAATTCTATGAATTCTAACATTTATAAAAGATGAAATATGAACTGAACTTTCCATTCCAATAGGGCAATCCAGCCTGTTAGCCATCAGATCAGAACAATGGTTCAGAATGAAATTAAAGTAGAGAACATTTGCTGCATCTACTTTACATTCCAGAAATACATATATCCTAGGAGTTGGATGTATAGAAAACATTATAAGTTTGCTCCAAACAGGCACTAGAAAATCATAGTAAATAGGAAATAATCTAAGTTAATGGGGACCTTCTAAGAGAAGTGAACAGTGAAGCCACCTGAAGATTGAAGGATTATCTTCTTTTGCAACCAATGAGCGGACTAATAAGACCACAAAGTATGAAAAATACAATAAGCCTCTTTTTTAGCAGAAATCATTTATAAATGAAGTTGTTTACATTAATATGCTTCTGATATTTTGAACAACAGCAAGAAAAACAAATAAGATGCAAACAAATCCAAATTTGAAAATGGGATAGTATTTCTGAAAGTCCGCAACCTATAAAACCCAGACACATGGTATGAAAAAACAGGCAAGCATATTTGTTAGAATATATGTAGCATGAGATCACTAATGCAAATAACTGGGAACACTCTTTCATTATATGGATATATACCATAATCATCCATATATCAGGCTCCGCCTCATAGAACACATGTGAGTGCCTTTCTGCCTCTATGACCTCGCAAGCAGCCTCTGGAGAAAAAATTCTACAAAAAGATTGGTTAAGTGCCTTGTTATCAAATGAACGATGTGATAACCCAGTAATGCTAGTTGATAAAAACTCGGGAAAAATAAGTAAATGAAATGTCAATAACAACAGAAACAACACCCTTTTAATATATAGGATTTTTTCAAACTCAAATAAAAAAAAATATAAAAACATATCATAGTGTAATGATATAAAGAAGAAATTTGTGAGATGATATAAATAGGCTGGTAAATGCGACAGATCGTAAATGGAATTTGGATTAACTGAACAAGCAAAATTATGATATGGCGAAGTTTGATGGCACAAGAAACTTTAGATTGTTGAGAACCAAAATGAGAGTTGTGCTTGCCCAACAAAATCATAAGAAAGCATTTTTGGTTTTCCCTATAAAATGAGTGAGAAGAAACAAAAGACATGAATGAGAAAACTCTCACGAAGACTGATGGAGCACAAGTCAACTAGTTAGCCCAAAAATGAATATATTTTTACAGAACAATAAAAAAGAATTAAACAAGACAACAAAAGATGTGCACCAAATCTATTTTCATGCTTTTTTTAGGCTCTTCTTTTGTTTTAGGTCAAATTTCTCTTATTTCTTTAGTAAACCTTAAATAGGATTAATTATCCTCATTAGACAATAATATGCTTGACATTAAATATTTTGCTAGGATTAAATCTGATTTTAGATGAGATTATATTTGAATTTAAAGTATTTGTATTTAGTCTTATCCTTATAAACCCTATTTTTATAAATAGGAATTGATTGCCTATATTTTTTATTAGCAATTGATAATTGAATAGATATAGATTATTCGTGTAACCAATTGAGTGTTCTTTAAATCCAAGTTGCTATGCGAACTTTCTCCTCAATCTATTTTAGCATCAAAGGAAATCTCCTGTGATTTTAGTCATCATTTCAATTTTTGTTGCTTTTATCCTTTCTTTCCTATAATAACACTCACAATTATCATTTTTCTGTTTATGCATTCCTTTCCTAAAACTGGCCCTATGCCTCTGATTTCTCATCTCGCACCCAAACCACATTTTATCCAAATATATTTCACAATAAATCTTTTCATGTCAAACAACTTGACATGAATACATAACTCTCTCTCCCTATGCCTCTGATCATATGGCCCCTAATTCCGTGGATCCATATCTCACACATGTGTTGCTTGTTTCATCCATGCACCATGCATGTGTTTGTATCCACAATGGTTGCTCCCCCACTTTCCATGGCTTCTCTGCACTCAAATCCCACATCATGACACTGAACTTCCCGCATTGACACATGTTTTGTTTATTTGTAGTTACGACCTACAAGCCACAGCTGCTCCCAACTGCATCCAACCATTAACCCCCATCTTTCATAAGAGCACATGACTCACAACATCATCATAACCTATAGCTATAGCAATAACATAAGCAAATCAATATGAAAGGGTTGCGTCCTTCACTCCCATCTGACTCATCTCTGAAAACTACTATCAATAACCATTAGCATCAACGCCTTTATTGAATAAATCTTCCACAACATGTGAAATCTTATCATAATACCTCATCTGCAGCCTCTCACATACAGTATACGATCTAGTAAAATCTTGCACCAGCCATGATGTGTTATCATTACAATATGATCATTTGAATAACAATAAGCATGAAAAATAAATTTTAATATTTATTTAGCTTTTAAAATGGTTTACAGTAATTGTATAAAAAGAAAATACCCACTTTCATTATATTTTTAATTATCTAGTGTTCCAAAAAATTTACAAAAGGCTTATGACATCCAATTATAATTTCTGCAAATTATCATATTTCCACAGATTTAAATATATATTATTTTTTATTTTATAAAGAGATTTTAAACAAAATTTCCTAATATAACTTTAAGAAATTCATTAACTCTCTTCATGTCCATGTGTCAAATGGCATAAATGCCCATCTATTTTTCAAATGGCAGACAAGAATGATGTTCTTAAGTCCCATTTGCCATTTTTTAATAAAAATTTCATAAATATATTTTACAAAATTATTTTTCTCAGTAAGCCTAAAAGGTATTTGTCCTTTTGACCAAACAACCTGACTACCCCTTCACTTTACATATACATAATTACATAACATGCAAGAGTGTGATCAAAACAGTCCATCAATTCTTTCTGAGGGACCAAAATAGCCCCCAATTCTTTAAAATGGGACATTTTTTCCTAACATTTAATATTGATGTTAATGGAGTTAAATATAAGGGTATTTTGGTTATTTTTTAATTAGACTATTTATTAAATATAATTTCCAAGTAATTGTAATTTTTTCAATAAATTTTATTAAATTTTTCTTTAATAAAAAAATTAATAATAATTTTAGTTTTAATTTTAAAATTTTTATCATGCCTCTATAGCATTCCAAATTATTTTGCAAGTCATAGAGAGATTAGAAGACAGGTGACGGTGAGGAGGAAAGGAAGAAGGAAAAGGACAAAGAGAGCAAGTCATTTTTTATGGAAAATCATTTAGTAAATCAAAATTTCACCAAATTAAAGTATTAAACCTTTAACCTAGTTTAGGAAGCATATTTTCTTCTTCTGTGATATCTTTATATTTGATCACATAATTTATAGTATGGTTGAGATGAATGATGTATTTTATATGAATGTGAAGTGTATTGGAAGTAGAAAATAGCAAAACAAAGAGAAGAAAAGCATAAGAACTCAAGACAATGGATGTTTTTTGGATTTATTCTTCAAAAGCAAGCAAGATACAATTGATCTATTATTCGAGAGGCAGATTGGATCTCCCAGCTCTCCTAGATGCCGCTAGGAAGCTCTCAATAATCCCCCAAAAACCCTAGAATCAGCCCTAAAATAAGCCTCCTTAATTCCCCCAAAACAACCATCTTTACTTAATTCACTCCCTATTTTGAATTCAAATCCCTCTCATTAATTTCTCAATCCTTCTTTTTACATATGTAATGATAGATTTAATGGGGCCCCATAAGGAGAGACGAATCCCTACTGCCCTCTCCTATATCAATACTCCACTCCCCAAAATGTACCTTGTCCTCAAGGTGGAAGGTAGGGAATTATCTCCTGATTATCTAGTATGGCTCCCACGTGGCATCATGCTCTAGCAGATCCTTCCACTTGATTAGCACCTCATGTGCCCCCTATCTCCCCTCTACGCACACTCGCTACTTCCAGGAGTTCTAAAATGACCTCCATGTCCTCTATCAAAATCGAGGCTAGAGAAGATGATGTATGCTCTCATATCGCCTTCCTTAGCTATGAGACATGAAAAACTGGGTGCAAAGCTGATGAAGGTGGTAGCCTCAGTTGATAGGCTACTAGTCCAATACACTCAATAACCTCATAAGGCCCAAAGTACAGCAGGGATAATTTCTCATTCCTCTTTCTGACTAGTGTTTTCTATCTGTAGAGCCTTAATTTTAAGTAAACCATATCTCCTGGCTCGAAGTTTACTTCTCTCATGTGCTCATCAGGCTTCCTTTTTATGATATGTTGGGCTCTCAACAAATATCTCTTTAGCTCAGATAATACCATGTCCATCTCCTCTAAGTACTGCTCAATGTTGGACACAAATGTAGTGCTCTGCCCATAATGAATTAGATGGGGTGGATCTCTCCCATAGAGAATCCTGAAAGGAGTGGTCTTTATTGTTGAATGATACGAGGTATTGTACCAATATTCTACCCACGCAATCCTCTTTGACCAACTCTTCGGAATGCCGGATACAAAGCATCTCAAATAGGTCTCTACATTTCTGTTGACCACTTTTGTATGGGAGATGGTATGTTGTGCTTCTCTTCAAGACTATCACCTGTAAATGAAACAACTCCTTTTAGAAGTGGCTAAGAAACACCTTGTCCCTATCTGATACAATGGATTATGGAAATCCATACAAGCGCACCACCTCTCGTATAAAAATAGTAGCCATAGAGACCATAATGTAAGGGTGTTTCAAAGGGATGAAGTGTGTATATTTGCTCAAATGATCCATTACTACCATTATCATAAAAATCCCTCTGAACATGGCAACCCCTCGATGAAATCCACCGTCACCTCCTCCCACACCCTCTCTGGTAGAGCTAGCGGCTGTAGTAACGCTCCCGGTGTCATGGCCAAGTATTTGTGCCTCTAGCACACATCACATCTCGCTACCCAATCCTCTACATCGCGGCGCATCCCCACCCAATATAGTTCTGCTGATAGCCGGCTGTAGGTGAGCTCCTGAATGTCCTCCAACCGTGCTACCATGAAACTCCTGCAATAACTTAGGGAATTATCTCAAACCCCTTGGTAACATATGGAATTCCATTACAACAAACTTTAAATGATGTCCACAAGATAGCTACTCAAATTGAAACATCATTTGTTTGAAAAGCATTCATTAATCATTTCTAAAACGCAAAAAAGAACAGAAGGCATGTGCTGATAAGTGAACAACCAATCCTACAAATATACCTAAATCAGCATCTAGTCCAAAATTTATGGCAGAACCCAATGAAGATATTGAAGAAAATGATCGTCTTTTATATCAATTAGAGCACTACTTGATGAAAAAAAATGTGAATTAGAACTTAATACCGAATGAAGTCATGAATATATACTACACACCTGCATCATTTATATGTTTGCATGAACATTTGCATAAGGATCAAGGTGATAAAAAAATGTCAATGGCTTATAATAATGATGGTCTCAGTGATAATGCTAAGTTTCATGATTATTATCAAGATCATAGTAATTTATGCTTTGAATTGATCCATGTCCCTTATGTTGTTCACTATTTGACTATTTGCAATCAAGGTTTTAAATTGCGTAAATAAGCCTCGAGGCGTTTTACGTCCGTGAGGCGAGGCGTAAGCCTCACCGATGAAGAATTGCGTAAATGAGAATTTAAGGGTTTCAGCAAGTAAAAAATAGTAAGATTCTATCATACAATAAAAACATCTAAATGACAATTAAAATTAGGGGAAAGTAAGAAAATAAATGCAATAAAATCATGCCCCAAAGTACAAAACCACAAAATATTAGTCTATCAAAACTCCCAAAGTACAATTAAGAAAGAACATATATAATCCAATCATGTCCCATCACTAAATGGGTCTTCAAGGGAATCTTCTCACCCCTTCCTCCTCTCCTATAGAGTCCAATGTCTTCCAATCAAAGCATGCACTCATGAACAAGTAGACTAACACTAACAACTATTACTAAAGATGATGAATAGAACAATATGCCGAACTGTCGCGGGGTCAAGGGGCAGCACCCCTGCAAGAGTTTCCGGGGGCAGCGCCCCCAGAACAAAATTTTATTGTAAGAGTAATTTTGAAGTTCTATTTGTTTTTGAAGTTCGTAAGTTGTTTTTATGGGAAGATACTGAGTGGTACCGAGCATGTTCCTTAGCAGTACCGAGCATGTACCTAGCGGTACTTAGCAGTACCGAGCATGTACCTAGCAGTACCGAGCAAATACCTAGCTGTACCGAGCATATATTGAGCGGTACCGAGCATGTACCGAGCATATACTGAGCGGTACCGAGCATGTACCTAGCAGTACCGAGCAAATACCTAGCTATACCGAGCATATACTGAGCGGTACCGAGCATATACTGAGTGATACTAAGCATATATTTGAGGCGTACGCCTCAGCCAGAATTGCGCAATTGCGCCTCTGAGGCGCGCCTCAGTTCAAGTGAGGCGTACGCCTCTGCCAGGAGAGGAATTGCGTAAGCCTCGAGGCGGTTTTGGGTCAAATTGCGCAGAGGCGCGCCTCAAGGCGTGCCTCTTATTGCGCAATTTTAAACAGAGTTTGCAATGATAAACTTTGCAAACTCTGCATCATCATGGAATCAATTACCCAAATGTCTTACTCCTATGATGTGAGACTTCTAGGTGTTGTGCTTAATATATCTATTGATTACTATGCATTGGTATCAAAAACAGCCAACAAATAAAGAAAAATTCAGCAAACCGCAGATTTTTATTGATAAGAAACCAAATATGAACAAGCAAGATAAAATGGTCCTCTTTTAAGAGGAGGACCTTCTCTCCCAAATTTTAGACATCGCTAGAATCCCTCACAAAACAGTGGACAGCAAACACTCACAAAACTCATCAATAGCATGATCCTAAAACCCTAGACAACTCCCCCTTAAATAACCCTAGAACACAATAACCATAACTTAAATAGAACCTTCCTAAATAGTTTAAATATAATTTAGGAAACCTTCTTAAACAGTTTAAATATAATTCATGAAACTTTCCTAAATAATTAAATATAATTTAGAAAATCTTCCTAAACAAAAAAAATTAGGAAACCTTCCTAAACAAATAAACATAATTTAGGAAACCTTCCTATACAAATTAAATATAATTTAGGAAACCTTCCTAAATAATTAAATATATTTTAGGAAAAATTCCTAAACAATTAAATAGCTTCATTCCTCCTCCTCACATAATGAATAATAGCTTCCCTGGGTCCCACAAGGTGGGTCCCCCTTGATGTATCATTGATTTGATTACTAATGCAATTTTCATGATCAAGCTTCTGTTGTCAGCTCAAGATGGTCTCAAGCTTATGCTCTTGTTTGTAGGTTTTTCAGCAATTAAGTTGTGCTTCAAATGGAACTAGCTGATCACCAAACATGGAAAAACACCATTAAGAATGACTATTGCAACTGTTTTAGTGTTGCTACCTCAATCATATCCTTCACTATTTCTCAAGGATCTTCAGGCCACATATGAAACTATGCAATGCCCCCTCTATGGCTTCCACCTGAAGCCTTCATGACCAGAGATCTTTACAAAGTGAGTGGTAGATTGATACAACACAATTCAGCTAATTAATTCGAAACAGATCATATTCAAAATGCGCCGACGGCTACAAAAAGAGTTGAACTAAACCCCACTTTCATGACTTTTTAGGTTTTTTATTTAAGTCAAATTTCTCTTATTACTATTAGAATTATATCATTAGATTTAATCGTCCACTTTGGATAACAATAGGCTTGAATATCAATATTTTGTAATGATTATATTGATTTTCGGATAAGACTTTGAAATTTTGAATTTGAATTAATTAGTTTTTTTCTTGTAACCCTATATTTGTAAATACAGATTGAAGATTTGTATTTTATATTGAAATTGATAAATAAATGAATAGAAATTATTTGGGAGATCAATTGAATGCTCTCTAGATTTAAATTGTATATGTAGATTTGCCCAACCAATGTACCCAAAGTTCCTTCTTCTTTCCCACCATCAAAAGATGTTTTGACCATACAAAAGGGTTGAGCTCATGTTGGACTTAGGTATGTGATTCCAAGCATACAAAATGAGGTTCAAATGCATGAAACCATAGTTTTAATCAGGGTAATTAAAATCAGATGCAAACCATTGAACCATCAACAGCAGCTAAAAAAAAAAAAAAAAAAAAAAAAAAAAGAACACCGACAAGGAACCATTATCATTGAATCAATTTCTTAAGTTTTGAGTGTTGAAGTAGATTATTGCATACTGCAGTGGATGTGTTACTCAAGCTTGAATAGCTAAGATGTTTTGAAAAGGTAAAAAAAGGAACTTCCAATCATAGTGTGGGTGCATTAGCATTAACAAAATATCATACAGACCTTGTAAATGTAATTATTCCTTCACAAAGTCCAATTACAGATAGCTGTGATGAGTAGGGGCACTCGGACGGATAAAAGAACAATATCTTGTCAAGCTCTTGACCTTCATGCTGCCCCCTTCTTGAGTCAAAAATACAAAATTGGATCCCTTCGTTAGCAATATTTGCTGATGACAATCCCATTGAACGCTCTGTGTAGTCTCCCTGGCGATAGGCAAAGAACAAAATCTTCTTATTTAACATTAGACAACAAACAACAAATGATGAAATGAAATGACTAATTAGCATGTCAAAGCCAATCTTATTCTAGCTTTCTTAGAGGACCTTTCCTCGAAATGAATCAAAAGCAAGTAAAAGACAGCAGTAACCTTCCAAAAGCAATAATTAACAAACTAGATATTTCAAGTTCAAATATCCTCCATGAAAGAACTCAACCATAAAATCAGGAGTAAATTTCAATGGATCTGAGAATGGACGAAGAAGAATAAAGGTACAAATATTACAAAAATCATATTAGTTTAATTTGGATCAATAATCCGTAATGAAGTTGATGGAGAAGCAAATATGCTCACGTGAATGGGAAGATGTTGAGAAAGCATATCCGCGCCACAGAATTTCTCATGAAAGATTGGAAAACGAAGATACAAATGGAACTGAGGGCTGCTTGGTGCTGAGAAAATGCGAGAGATAGCAATTACCTGCCAGTGAGCTCTCCACGGATCTCCACAAGGATGATTAAATAGTTTTTTATCAGAGCAGTTTGTTTTTGTGGGTTCAACCCTAAGCTATTAAAGTACTAATGACCAGCGTGTTGTGTAGTTGCTTTCAAAATTCTAGTTTCAAGAAGTTTCAAGTTTGTTATGTGCTAAGTAATACTGAATTGCTTGTTGGAAGTTTCAACCTTTTGGTATTATGAGTTATGAAGTTTCCTACAAATTGTCACTCACAAAAGTGCATTGCCAGGACCATAGAACCAGCTTAGTTTTAGGCAATATTTTTGGTCCCCCATAAACTGTTTAACAAAGAGGTTGAGTTGTTTTCCTAGATAAAGCCAGAACCAATAGGACCCAAAGCAAGGTGCAACCAGTTTATCAGTCTTAAACAAAGCAGTTTATCAGTCTTAAACAAAGCATAAGTAACCTGCTTTCCCCAGTTTTTCTTCCCCATATATATGAAGGTTATTGTAATCCCATAGTTAGCAAACGTGTCATTTGATGTTATCTAAACACCATTATAGGACTTTTGATCAGTTTCTACCTTCAAGATTAGAGTAACCTACATAACATTACCTACAACAACAGCAACAACAAGCCTTAATCCCACCACATGCTCAGATTAAATTAATCTTCATAACACTTGAATAGAATGCTATTTAAATTACAATAATTATTTCAAAAAACTAATCAATCATATTGCTATCTTAAGAAAGCTTTTTTCTGAATAATATTAAGCAAAATAATCCATAAATCATAAATGCTTTACACTTGTCCAAGAGTTTCACCATCCTCAATCCTTGTGGAGATTGATTGAGCTGTCACCGGGAACTAATCTATTTTTGTATTTTATCGGGCAATGGACCTATGAAGTCCTAAAATTCCATTTGCAAACACTTCCTCCAATCTTTCAGAAGAAATTCATCTTTCCAGGTGAGCTTCCCAAGATCTTCTCCATTCTCATGAGCAGGCTGCACATATTTATTTTTTTCCCTCCGTTTCAATCCAAAAAGATTCAAATTAGTTTAACATGCTTTTCAAAATCTCTGCAACTTTCTATCACCTCTGTTATCCACTTTGTTTGAATTTGCTCATGAATGTAGAGTGCTCTAATGAAGGAAGCAAAAACACAATAATCTAGTTCTAAAATAAAAGTTTAAAGGCTAATTGCTGTCTTAACTTTTAAATCAAAATGATTCTTAGTTTGAAATGCATCTAGAATGCATCTACTATAGGAATGCATTGAATTTTTTTCTATTTACAATAAGCTATTTGGTTAGATATATAAAACTATTTATCTGATAAGATGAAAAATAAATTGAAGTTTATTTTGAAGCCAGATTTAGGAATGAAGCAAAGCAATGTGCTGGCTTGTGCATCACTAACTGTGAATCAAAAACTCATAGCAAAGCAGATATGTCACACCTGTTTGTCGTGTTGCATCAAAGTGTTGAGTGCATGGATCCTGCTTAGAGCAAAAACCTCGTTCAAATTTCATAATTCAGTCCAGCATCTGCCATAGTAACTAAGCACGACCATTTGCTTCTCACTATTTTTCATAAACATTGGTTCTCCTTTCTACCTTGCTAGAGCTAATCACTTATTGGTAGTTCTTTCTCCTTACTCTCACTCCCTCGCTAGTTCTCATACCATTTTCACTAGTTTTGCTGTCGGCACTAGAATCTTCTCACATACAAGCTTCTTTTCCAAAATAGTTCTTGATGCCACATCCTAATACTTTCCCTCACTTTACACTGCCTTTGTATCAGTCTCTATCCGATAAGTCAATGTCACGATTATGTCCTTGATTTTTAAGTATTCTTATGTTACTTCATTATATATATATAGCCTTTTATTAATTGAAAATTACTATTATGGAATATATCATTTTAACTGCTAATAAAATATTAATTTATGTAGTTTTAGCTAATTAAATAATTATTGTATGCACATAATTTATTCATATACGGTCTAAAACCAATGAACGCTTTAAGTTAAAGTGCCGCTTCGTTTTGTTCTTAGCTCAATGAAATAAAAAAGAGCCATTGTGCATTGTGTTACTTTTAGCGCTTTGAAAATAATAACATAAATGTAGTGAAATTAATTTTCATTTAATTTGATGTACAATTTGCATTCCACTACTCCAAGTGGATGAAATAGTAAGATAATATATGATATAAATTGGACTATTACCTGAACAACATATAAATAAAAAGCGAATACATAAAAATAAAAATTAAATATCATAAAAAATATTTAATTTTATAATTTGGCCAATAATATTTAAAAAATGATAGAAAAATCATTATCTTTTTTATTTTGATGACAGTTTGATCATTTCTCATGAAAATTACCAATTATATGATAGTAATATAAGTGATAAATCAAAAGGTCATATAGTAATTAAATCATTAAACTAATAAACTTATCACTATATTTTTCATAAAGTATATATTAAACTAATAAACTTATCATTATATTTTTAATAAAGCATATCACAACAACAAAAACATAAAGCCCTTATCCCCGTACGTGGGGTCGGCTACATGAATATTTTTCTCCACTGTGTCATATTAAGAGTCAATTCTTATTTAAATTTAATAAAAGTGTCATTTATAATACTTTCTAAGCAAATTTTTTTATGGTTTTTTTAAATTAATTTTTTATTCTTTTAACCAAATTTTTTTTATGTCTACCTCTACCTTTTTTAATATAGGTCAAATCTAATACATCTACAATCATAACCGAGCCACTAGAAAGATGATGTTTATGTGAACAAACCATCTAAAGTGAGTCTCTAATCTTATCTACCACTGGAGCTGCTCCAATCTTTTCACATATATACTCATTTTGCATTCTATATCTAAGTATATAGCCACTCATCCACCCGATCATCCTCATCACTGCAACACTTAAACTTAATTTTACGCTTTTCTTTTAATGGCCAATATTTTGTGCCATAAAGCATTGCAGGTCTCACTACCACCTTATAAAATTTTCCCTTAAAAAAAATTTCATGTGACTTGGAAATCATGGGATGTTAATCCAATATGCCATGGGGCTTGCAAATCATGGGTCAAATGATAGTTTATTTGTTAAATGACTATACTAATCTTTGTTTTGTCATAGATATTTAACATGAAATGTTCTATCATTACATATTTGATACTTTTTATGAGAAATAATTAAACTATTATAATATTTTAAAACACAAACATTTTTTATCATTTTTAAAATATTAGTGGCCAAATTGTAATGCAAAATAAAGTTGGAGGATATTTAGAATTCCTCCCTTAAAAATAATTGAGAGAGTGAATTACTAGCTGGCAATCGAAAACAAAATAAGTTTAAAAAAAAATACAATATATGCAATAACATAGAAATAAAATAAGGAATTCTTTCAAGCATCCTAAAATTAAAAAAAAAAATTAAGCAACGGAATTTCATTACCTATCACTGAAAAGGTTACATAAAATAGCAGTTATAAAGAACTGCCAGCCCAAAAAAAGGCAAAGAAAAAATTACATTGGATCAATACAGCATAAAAGGTGGGAGAAATATTTATCCAAAAGAAGAGTAGCAAGCACACATTCAAACACCAGTTAAGTCAAGAATGCCTAAGACATTAGGAGAGGTATTACATCTAGCATGAAATCATGTAAACCTGGAAGAATGAAGGAAAAAAATTTTAAATTTGTGCCAGTTGGATTAAAAATAAATTAGAACATTATCCACTAAACCAGATAAATTTTTGATGGACTCTTGTGGCTAAACAAAGCTTGAAGCGTCTACAACCTCTACATCAAAACACTATTGCTACCATTGGGAATATAGTAGTAGTATCATAGAGAGGAATGTGAGTAGAAATAACTGAGGGACCTCAATAGACTGACAAATAGATTTCCCAAAAATGGCTCTTGAAGTACAACAGGCCTGACAATCATATATGAAGATACCAAAGATGGGGGAGCAAGAGGAATACTGACATCCATGAAATCAACAGCAACTAAGGGAGGCGCAAATTCAAAATATGAGGCTAGAGTAAGTTCTAGAGCATGGAAACATTCCGCGTGAGGCAAGACTAAAGAAACAACTTTTGGCAAGTTGGTAGGTTCAATTTGATCATTAATATTTACCACAAATCTTATGTTTCCATAACATGATCAATAAAACTATCCTAAATAATAGGACTTCTATAAAATATTTTTTGTTATTCCATATGAGACTTAAAAGAGATCAACATATTCATAACAAAAAATTTGTAGGACAATGATATGAGGATAAACCCTCAAATTCCAATACTTGCCAAGAAATACATGTTGATGTGTCAAACCATATCTCTGTAGCCCCAATGAGTAGAAATGACTATTCCAACAAGAATATCGGCTGCATAAACTCGGAAGAGATGGAGATAGCAGTATCTAGCTGTAATTATTTGCCAATAATAAATCCCAATGAATATAGTATGCATTAATTAATTGAACATAGATGAAAGAAAATAACTCATACTAGGGTAATAGAAGGCTTCTCAAATGTAACAAAGTATAGAGATCACTTCAACATATGCATCGGGAGGCCATTCACGTAATATAAGACATCAGAAAAAGTCAAATATGCTTCCAATGATAGTTTAATGAGCACGTGAAGACAATCAAGAAGACTAGTAGAGAAATCACCAATTATCTGTAAATTAGACATTAAAAAAATAAATAATCTCCAAAATTGGGTAGATATGGGTAGATAAAGGCAATTTTACTAACCAAAATATAAGTAAATGGAGTAACCGTATCATAAATCTCAGCCTCAAAAAAATGAAAATGGATTTATCATGATAATAGCGAGTGATTTATCTCTAACATAATCTGAGTCAAGCTAAAAGAAAAAGAAAATCTGATAGACAAATCTGACTGCAAAAAATCCTTGCCCCTTAGGGTAACAACAAAGGAAAAAGTGGGAGCAATAGGCAAGGTAGGAACAATTGCAGTATGATCAAGTCAAATTGTAGGAACTATTTAACCAATGACATTCATGGGACACAAAAAGGAGCGGACCATGGAAGAACCAACATTAAACATAAAATAACTAGAAGAAGCTAAAATAAGGAGTAGATAAGTAGGCCATCACAAGGTTTAAAATTGCGTAACTACGCCTCGAGGCGGTTTTCGTCCGTGAGGCGAGGCGGTCTGAGGCGTAAGCCTCACGAACACAGAATTGCGTAAATGAAAAATTAAGGGTTTTAGCAGGAAAATAATAACAACATTGTACCTTACAATAAAAACATCTAAATTATATATGAAAATAGTGGAAAATAAGAAAGTAGATGCAATAAAATCATGTCCTAAAGTACAAAATCACAAAATATTAGTTTAACAAAACTCCCCCAATTGCCACCTAATCACCACTTAATACCTCATTAATGCCTTGCCCTCTCAGATTTTAATTTCAATTTTTGAAATCTGAATTTGAAATTAAATCTTTCCTTCTTTCTTATCAAGAATCTGAAATTAAACTTCAGATTTATTCCATCCACAAATTAACCTCACCCTCTCCCCTCTCTCCCTCCCAAACCGTGACCCCCATCTCCTCCCAAGTCCACGACCCAACCTTCTCCCCTCTCCACCCTTCTTCTCTCTTTGGTCTTCCTTCTCGTGCTCCCTCATCCCCATGCTTACAGTGCATGGCCGATCCTGAGGTCAACCACGATTTCGCATACAACGAGCAAGGGGAGATCGACATTTTCCTCTCCCCTTTCTACGAACCGGATTGGGAATACGACGTCACCGTCGAACACTACATCAACTGGATCGTGTATTTGCCTTGTAGGGACCATTGAGCTTCAACGACCAAGGACCACGTGGTCCCTCATCGGACGCTTCGTGCCTCCTCCAACTACGACAACCTTCCCAACAACTAAGATCCTCGGCTCGTCCTTCCTAGTTGTCACTTCATTTCTAGTATGGAAGATCTTCCTCCGCTCAGCCTAGATTCGTAGAGAGAGGGTTGATCCTCAAGGTGAATCGATCTTTTTGTTAACCGTCGGATTCTAGTTGACTAATCATTCAAATTACTTTTGTATAAGTTGTTATTTTACAGAACTTGCAAATTTAGTTGTAATTGAATGCCTAAACATCGTTTGCTTCTAAGAGCTTCCTTAAATTTTAATGTGAGACGCCTTAAGATTAATAGTATCATTGCTCCACAACTTTTATTAATTTCTTAAAACAATTCCTGGTTCCACATCAAAAACACAAAGAGGATCCTTGATGTTGGTGTCAACAAGCACGAGCGCAAGGGACAAAAGCAGACTGAAGACTCTAATGTTATTGTACACGCAACCTTGAAGAGAGAGTAGCAACAAACAAGGAGGAAGCTGCAAGGAATATTGAGGAATGATTGCGACCTAGACTATCAAGGAGATGAGCCCTATGCTACAGCTAGATAGAGTGGGGATGACAAGCCCAAGGGATTGGGTGACGACACAATAACAGTAAGAGCATGCGGGTGAGATTGAGGATATTGTTATGTGGAGGCATGATGAGCTGCATGCAATGATGATTGGGGGCACTGTCACAGCTTGCCGCAATATGACGGCAACCTGAGGATGACCTAGCACAAAAAGCCATCTTTCACAAAACAAAGCCTAAATCATTGCCTATGGGTTAAAAATGTTGAAGTTATACAGGAGGAAAATTGAATCCACACACCAATCTTGTACTAGTATTCAATTTGGAATAATCATAATGAATGAATTGTAGGAAATTTTTTAATATTTTCTATCAACCAAAAAGAGGCCTACTTAAATATTCCACTGAGTGGACGATTCACAATGCAGTAGTTACTATCCAAAAATGACCCTGGTAGGCTTTTGCTTCAACAATGATCAAGCGCAAATCAATCAAGCTAGGTTTAATTTGGGCCAATAGCCACCCAATACAATGCAACACCAAACCCAAGAAATGGAAATATAGATTCTTGCATATAATTGTAGTTCATAATTAGCATGCTTCATGAGAAAGTATCTTCTATATGAACTGTTTGTGAGGATCAATAAGCATATACATTTAGTTAGTCTTATAGGAAAATAAGAATGGAGTTATAAATAACATCACAAATCAAAATAATGATTGATCAATTAGCATCAGCACTTTCATAGAATAAGTTTCTTTTGTGCAAAAGTTTAACTAAAACACTTTACAAGTTTAAATTACAATGTAATGCACTTAGGTGATATGGCGGATACATATCCGGGGAACATATTGCATATCAGTGCCACTACAAATAATCAAAAGGAAGCTTATGCTTCCAATCTCATGTTCCAATTACACACAAGAATTGCATTGTTTCAAAGGAAACAATAAAATTATGACGCTAAATCAGTTGAATCAAAATAACTCTATCCTACAATTTAATATCGCAATAACTATCAAATCACAAATATATATATATATATATATATATATATATATATATATATATATATAT